GTGGTGGGGATGGGGGTGGTGAGGGTGGTGGTGGGGGGGGTGGGGGTGGTGGTGTTTTTGTTGTTGTTCTTGTTTGGTGCTGCTGCTGCTGCTGTTGCTGCTGTTTTTGTTGTTGTTTGCTGCTGCTGAGGCTGGGGGTGATCTGGTGGTGGTTGTGGTGCTGTTGCTGCTGCTGATGATGCTGGTGTTTCTGTTGCTGCTGTTAGGATTACTACTCTGCTGCTGCTGCTGCTCTTCCTGCTGCTGCTGCTGCTCTTCCTGCTGTTGCTGCTGCTTTTATTTCTGCCGCTGCTGCTGCTGCTCTTACTCCCACCGCTGTCGTTGCTGCTACTGTTTCTGCTGCTCACATTGCTGCTGCTGCTGCTGCTCACGCTGCTCCTGCTGCTGCTGCTCCTCATATTCCCGCTGCTGCTGCTGCTGCTGCTGCTGCTGCTGCTGCTGCTGCTGCAGGGCCCTTGCTCGGTCTGGGTTGCGCATTGGGCGTATAGAGGATGTGACCCCCATACCCACAGACAGCACAAGAAGAAAGTCAGGAAGAAGAGGACGCAGACTCTGAGCTGCTGCTGCTGCTGCTGCTGCTGCTGCTGCTGCTGCTGCGGGAGCAGTAGTAGTAGGAGTAGGAGTAGGAGCGGTTGCTGCTGCTGCTGTTGCAGTTGCTGCAGCAGCAGCAGCAGCACGTGCTGCAGTAGTAATGAGACAGAGCTGATACTCAGCAGCTATTGCTGCTGGCTGTATACCACAACAACTACTAATTTTATTTGCTGCTGCTGCTGCTGCTGCTGCTGCTGCAGTTGGTGCTGCAGCAGCAGCAGCAACGTAGCGGAGGGGGGTAGCAGCAACAGCAGCAAGAAAAACAGCAGCACGGGGTGTACATGCAGCAGCAACAAAAAACAGAAAACAAAAAAACCCAAGCCGAGGGTTTTAGCCGTTTCACTGCGTCTGAGTTCATCAAAAAAAAAAGGGTTTAGGGTTTAGGGTTTAGGGTTTAGGGTTTGGGTAGTATAGAGAAGTGTTAGCTTCTAGGGTTGCAGACAGACACACACAACAAAACGAGGGTTTAGGGTTTAGGGTTTAGGGTTTATTGAGAGAGAGGGGGGGTTGCTAGCCCGCCCCCAGAGGGTAGAGCTGTTGCAGCACAGCAGCTCAGCTCCAGCTAGCTAGCTAGCTAGCTAGCTGGCTGGCTAGCTAGCTAGCTAGCTAGCTGGCTAGCTAGCTAGCTAGACTACTATCTAGATATTTCTGTAGTGTAGCTAGCTAGCTACCCAGCTCGCCCCATGGGGCTGCATGCAGCTAGCCACCCGTGCAGCTGCTGTTGCTGCTGCTGCTGCTGCTGCTGCAGTTGCTGCTACTGTTTTTGTCGCCGTTGCTGCTGCTGTGTCTGCTTCTGTTGCTGCTGCTGCTGCTGCTGCTGCTTACTCTCTCCGC